GTGCCACTTTATGCAAAAAAACTTGTTTCTTTACCATGTTTCTAAACTCCTGAAGCTTTTTTTTTTCTTTTAAATGAAAGCTGTCCCTTTTGAGCTGTCTTAGGAGTGTATATTGGGTTGAATAGAGCAACATTGTTAGCTCTGAACAAATCCAACTCAAAAATCCAAATATTTTCACCTGGTATAAAGTGCAGCTGTAGAGCAATGTAAAGTACATTTTAGATCTGATAGACAGAAGAGTAATCCAGAGATGAATCCAAAAAGCATTCCGATCATATACATGCTTGTAGTCAAAAAAGTGACGTTGAGATGTGGAACGTAGATAATGGTTCAGTGTACTTAAGCGCTTTTCCTGGCGTTAAGTCTTACCAAATCAAACACAGTTTGGTGTAAATTTAAGGTGAATGTCAAAGCAAAAAAAAAAAAAGTATGCAGTACATCAGGGGTCGGCAACCCCCGGCACACGTGCCCAGCTTGGCACGCGAGGCCACATCTGTTGGCACGCAAACTAATTTTTTTGTTTGCATTTGACATCGCATCGCTCGAGCCGGCTGTCAAATTGAAGTCCCACCCACTTCCCTGACGTGGCTAGATGACATCATGCGCGGAGCAGCGCTGAGGAGGCCATTGACTATCTGCTCAAGGTCCTGCCTGACGGATTCTTTACGTGCAGAACGGAAGGAGGAGAAATGTTCACCCACCTGCCGGATTGAGCGGATCTTCTGTTCCCCGTCTGATTTGTCACCATTCTGCCCATCATTAGTCAGAACACAGTGCACAGAGCCGGAGGATCACCGTGCAATACTAATGTAATACTAATGTATGTGCCACATTCCCTTTGCATACTGCTCACCCAACGAACATTAGACCTCATACCTGCACACACACAGGAAATGCACTGCAATATCTTGATCCACAAATAGCTTTGAATGTATTCCTGCCCTAATATATATATTAGGGCTGTGGAAATTAAGAATTAAATCAAGAAATGAATCTTTAAACTTTTTGATCGATTTAAAATAATTTTGATCGCTAATAAACACTCACCTCTCCGCCGGCTTTCGGGAGTCCTGTCGGCGATCACCGGACTCCTCACCCCCCTTCCCCAAGTGGCTCCGTCGGCTAACGAAGGGAAGGGGAATTCGAAATTAATAGATGATTAAAATTTTCGTGTTCGATTTAATCAAATTTTTTTTTAATTACAAGCCCTATAATATATACACTCTCGAAAGCTTGTCTTTTTTATATATTTTGTTAGTCCAATAAAAAAGGTATCATTGCACACTGCAATACTGCATTTTTGTCTTTTTTGACATATATATATTATATAAAAAAAACTGCATGCGTACCTTAGGCATGATTCATGCAGCGTACAGTCGGGCTGTACAGATCTGTGCGGCGTGCACGGCCGCATCAGGCCACTCCCGGGAGGGATAGGTGCTGCGTGTGATTGTACGCATCAGACTGTCCTTCCCTATGGGAGGATGCGGCCATATGCTGTCATACGCTCTCCCGAGCTGCACATCTGTGCGGGTGTCTGTGCTTGGACCCAGACAGGATCTATCCTGTTTGCGTCCAAGTACGAACACCCGCACGGATGAGCAGTTCGGGTGAACGTATGGCCGTGTCCTCCCAGAACAGGCTGCTGCGTACAATCACACGCAGCACCTGTCTTTCCCGGGAATGGCCCTACATGTCCGTGCACGCAACACAGATCTGTACAGCCCGACTGAACGCTGTGTGAATGAGGCCTTATACTTAAGCCTTGGTCCATCTTGGTAGGGGAGACTGCTGCTATAATACTGTTTTGTTTTATTTATTAGCGGTGCACCGAAATAGAAATGTAAAAACCGAAATAAAAAAAGAGGAGGAGAGACACCGGCCGCTCACAGCGCTCTACTCCTGCAGCGCTCGGCCGGCTGTCACTTTCTCTCCTCCCTGCTGGGACACAGAGCAGCGCCCAGCGGGGAGGAGAGAAAGCAGGGATGCGTTGATGTATCGGCAGGAAAATGGCACTTTTGCCATTTAGCCAAAACTGCCATTTTCGGCCGATTTTATATCGGTGCATCCCTATTATTAATCATACATTGTTTGGGGCTGATGCAAGCTAAAGTGTGTGCGTTGGTGCTGGTCTGAGGTCTGCTGTGCGTTGGTGCTAGTCTGAATTCTGCCATTTATTGGTACTGGTCTAAGCTCTGCAGGGAATTGGTGCTGGTCTGAGCTCTGCTGTGCGTTGGTGCTGGTCTAAGGTCTGCCGTGCGTTAGTGCTAGTCTGAGTTCTGCAATGTATTGCTGCTGGTCTGAGGTCTGCTGTGTGTTGTTGCTGGTCTGAGGTCTGTCTGCATTGGTGCAGGTCTGAGGTCTGCAGGGCATTGGTGCTGGTGTGAGGTCTGCCATGTATTGGTGCTGGTCTGAGGTCTGCAGGGCCTCATGTAAAAAAACCTGTGTTTTATGAAAGTGCAGTGCTTAGGGCTGGTGTGGAGTTTTAAGGTAATACAGAAACAGGGATCACACTAAAACTGCAAGTCCAGTTTACTTTTTTAGTACATGTAAATATATTTTGTGTGTGCAATAATAAAAAAATTTCATTTACAGTTGTGCTGCTAATGGCACGGTAAACACATTCAAATAATTAGTGAGTTTAACTTATTAGCAGTACAACTACGAGTGCAAAAACTGAAATTTACTAATACTATGGTGCACTATTGTTCAATGGCACTCGGTTGTCTGATGGTTGCAAAAATGGCACTCGGTGTGTAAAAGGTTGCTGACCCCTGCAATACATCCTCTGCAATACATTTCTTTATATTTCCTAATTTTGTCTGCATGTACAGAAAAATACCTTTTTGATCTGCCAGAGATCCAGCGTGTTCCTAATGTCATGTAGTGGGCCAACAACGCTGACCCTCCACTGAAATTTCAAGCAGTGTTGTCAGCCCTGCCCTGTTCTTTCCTTGGACAACTGAACCCCTCTATATGTTAAGAGGATGATGAGTAGGGGTGATGCTTGGAAATTCGGTGTAGCCAAGAAACTTATCTCAAACTTGGTTAGAAGCACACTTGAGTTTGTGGCAGATCAACAAGTGGTTTTCTTTCTGCCCAGACATACTTGAAAGATGGTTTATCAGTGCATGTATCGCATTGTGCTTTCATCTTTTTTCCTGTGGGTTACAACTTCTCAGGCTTTGATGGTAAAGTGACTCTGTTCGCATATTAAAACAATACATTGGCAGCAACCTGGAAAAGAAAAACCTTACAGCGGAAGTAAAACGCTGAAGAAAAAAAATAGCTTGGGCCCAAAGAGCTGTCAGCCATAATGAGTTAATATGCGCAGCAATGACTTAACTTGAAACACTTGCGCACACGGGAGATTTTCTCAACTTGATACAAATCCTGGCAAGCCTGTACACTGAGCTTCACATGCGCGGCTCATTGTACAGCTGTAGAAAAAACTGCCAGCAGGCAGGGAAAAGCGCCAGTGACGGGGGAGAATCGCACACTCCATTTTTGCCATAAATAAAAAAAATGCCTGGCTGTCAACATTTTGGATGTCCCTTTTAAATACTCACTTTTCTGGCAGGTTATATGTAGGAACTTTCTGCTCTTTTTAAGATCTCTATACGGTACTGCTAATCATACACTTCCTTGTCTGTTGGGAAGTGTCTCACCACTAGGTGCCTGGTTTCTCCCATCGGCCACTACATTACTACAGGAAGCAGTGGCCAATGGTGGGGGCTGCCACTATGCTACAGTCTGAATTGTCTTATGGAGCTTTTAAAGAGCAGCCGCCAGAAATTAGTATTGGGGTACTTCTTTTACAGGTTGGTGCCAGTTAATTTGTTTTTGGTATAACGACAGAATTGCTTTGATGTCGGCAGTTCACTTTTGTTCACAGATAGTAAAAAAAAATTCTTGTATATGAAAAACCGTTTATTCTATTAGACATTAGTTCCTCTTTTCATGTTGGTATGTATGAAGAGGACACTGGTCGGATCTGCCTAACTTTGCTCCCCCATTGCATTGTACTTTGCAGGGATGTCTGAACGTTGTTTCCCAAAAGTCTGTATTTTTCTAAAGAAATTAGTGCTAACAGCAGGCATCTGTATTTTGATATCCTCCTGTTCTTCACCCTGACTGAAATGTTACAGGTTATGCATGTCTCCTTATTAGGGCTTGTTCGCGGTGAGTCAATTGCACGGTTCTGTGAGATTAACACGCACCCTACTGCACAACTCCCCTACCGCGCGTTAACAATGTGGAAATGTGTTGCCATTAATTTGAACACCACATAGTTAACACGTGGTAGGTTTGTAGTGCAGTAGGGTGCGTTAATCCCACGGAGCCATGTGATTAACGCCTCGCAAGGGTGCGAACGAGCCCTAAAAGGAACATGGATTCCCTTCAATGTCAAATGTATCGGTTTGGCAAAACCTTCCAATAAACCCATCTTATCAAATTCAGTGTAGGTAGAGAACTGCCAAACACTGTCTGGTTGAGTCGCACTTCAACTGTGTGTATCAGACTGCAGTTGTGAATTTCCCCGTACTGATAACTGTATTCCTCCCCTGGTTAATGATCGTCTATCCCTCCTTAAGGGGTAATTTCTCTACCGTCTCATTCCCCTGAATTCAAAGTGAGATGGCAACTTTAGCAGTGTAATTGCTGGGGCAGTAATGGGAATTCTGTTGGCGATATTACTTTGCAGTAGTCCTTGAGAGAGACATAAGACAGAATTCAATTCAGCGATCTGTAAAAAGCTTTTTACTGCAGAGATGGATGCTTATCGGTGAAACATCTAGAGGATTTCAAGGGCTGTTATATTTATAAAGCTTGGAGCGTATTTTCTGAGTAACCTCCCACTTGGTCTTCATTTTGAAAAGTTATTAGAGGTCCAATGAAATTATTAGACTTCTTAATCATATCTTTGCTGCTTCTATAGAAATACAACAAATGCAACCTGGGTATTCATATTGTTTTGTTTGGCTCCGTTGGCTCCTCAGGTTATCCATCACTGCGGATCGAGAAGAATGACCTGAAAAGTGTTACTCTTCAAGAGGCAAAGGCCAAGGTCAAGGACATTTCCATTTCCCGTGAGAGAGTGACACTCAAAGATGTCCTTCAAGAAGGTATGTGAATGCTTTGATAAAGTTCTTGAAATGTTCCTGTCTTGTACGAATTGCCTTAACGCATGAGATGGTAAATTTTGCAGAAGAACAGACACTTGCCTGTTTCTAACACAAGTGTAAACTGAACTACAAGAAAGTGTGAATAAATTGGTGTGTGTAGAAATGTCTTTGTTTCGTCAACTTTCTTTTATGGGATCACAGGCGTTTCTTTAGCAGCCTTGTAGCATCAATCTACTTCCATAGAGTTAGATTTCTGCCATTTTGTTGCGGGTTTGAACTGGGTATGCTAACAAAGATAAAGTAATGCAGAATTAATGGAAAGGGTAAGTCTACAATGCTCTTTTAGTATGTGAGCTGCATGTGGCTTTAGTTCTCCAAAATCTGTTTGTGGCATTCTTGCTGCCAGATCGGTTGTTTGCTTAAAGTACCCTTTGCCCCTTATGGCAGTTTTTCAAGCAGCTATATCTGTGGCAGGAGGCTGACATTGCTACAGTGATTCAACAGGTTAAAAAACAACTGTCCCAGTTGTGGCCCCTGAGAAGCCAAGGCTGCAAGTGAGGCAATTATCCTGACCGCCAATTCATCCCAGCTCAATTAACATAAAACTTGTAAATTCCATTAAGCCCAGTACTATTTTTCTACAGGTTTATGGCGTGCTCTAAAATGCTTGAAAGATTATTTTAGCCTCAGTGTGTTTGCATTTTGTCTGCATGTTTGACTTCCCTTTAAAATCTATGGGCATCGATTTGCCAATTTCCTCTTTTTGCAGTTCTTGGTGTCTGGTTTCTGTTGTGATGTCTGATAACACTGATAGTGTTTTATGAATGAGGACAAAACAAGCGCATAACCACAGATCGGGAGTTGGTTGAGGAAGTGTCCGTAATTGTAAAATAAAGCAGTTTTCGGCAAATTTATTGTCCTGGAACTCTTCCCGCACAACTCAACAAATACACTTGCAATGCGTGACTGATTCATGCGGAATGTTTACATCTGATAAGATGGTTTCCTCAGGGCATTTAGTTAGATCAGCCAACGCTTTCAGCTGGCAGCAGCTAAAGAATCTCATTTTGCTGAACCCAATCATCCAATAAAAACGAAAGCCGCACCAGAGAGCGGTTATTATTGACTCGCACTTTGCACCCTTATCATTCATGACTATTCCATCGTATTTATGGGACAGTACAGTCTGGTTCTTGGACATTTGGAACATAGGAAATCAGTAGGACTTCTGTCCCGGCTCCAGTGTAACTAATATCAGTGAAAGCTTGGCAGAGCCTTGTCTGTCTTCCCATTGTTAGCGGTGATTATATGTAAAGTCTCCGGCTTTGTGACGGCAGTAAGCATTGTCTCCAAGATAAGAGTCTACTTGGCAATGACAGCACATCCTCTCTTATAACTTAGTTCAGTAAATTCAGAAGCTAGTAAAAAAAAAAAAAAAGTTCTCAAAACAGTCAAGAACACTTATGAAAGGAGTTTTCCACAGGTGGAGATCATTATCTTAATTACCTCGGAGGTACGGGTACACGAACATTCTTCTGTGCACCCTTGGTTTACTGTTTTTAAAGCTGCTCTACAGCCAGACACCTCCATGGAGCTAAATGCTGCAGCAGTAGCTGAAGAAAATGCTCATCTTAATACTTAACTTTCTCACCTAAATCCATAGTCACGTGATGCCCTAGGTACCAAGTGTTCTATCTGCATAGTGGATGTGAACATCCATTGGCTATCCATTTTGGGGTCCTCACAAGTTCTGAACACAGTGACTGCTGGAGACCACCTGGACTGCAGCTCCAAATCACTGCTTTTCTCTACTACACCCAAAAAAAAAGCTTTTGGATATTTTTTGTGTAAATGGATAGATGATTGGGTAAAAGGATTTGAGTGACCATTTTTTGTCCTGTATTTAACTGCTGCTGCA